ATTATAATGTACACACCTTACAAATACAAATATTCAACTCAAAATCTCAAGAAAAACAACACACTCCATAATTGAGGTCACTCAATAAAATTAGCATATAAAATTGAATGGTATATAAAACGATATCTCGTGTTGAACATTATTACAGTAGGGAAGCAAGGTGCTTGATGAAGACAGGTGAAGTGTTTAACAATTCCCCACGCATAACTTTATTTTTTGTGACTTTCATCTTTCCTCTTACATCCAAAAACATAGAGAAAAAGGGCAGTTGTTAAGGCATGAATGGCTTCTGCAATATTAATGGTTTTGTGGATGTCATTGGTTGCTACTAGAACTCCCTATCAGATCATAAAAAATGGCTTAACTATGTTTACCCCTCATTTGTACACTTCTTTGCATTGGCCCCTAATTTTTCACATGTTGACCCTTCTTTTATAAAATTAGACTGTGATGAGTGATATTATGTAACGTTTTTGTCTTAGAATTTAAAAAAATAACACATGAATGGTCTCAGTAAAAATGAAATGTTATTTTCCTAGAGTCATGGGTTGAGTATTTACGTTTGTAGGGTGTGCGTGTTGTCATAGGTTAAAAAAATGAGTAAATTATCCTATGACCACTTAGTTATTGTCTTTTTTATTTTGGTTGCTGATTTTTTAATTTTATCAATCAGACCACTTAATTATTTAAATATTATCAATTAAGCTACCATACGTTAACAAAGAATGGGAGAGGGGAGACTTGAATATAGGCTCTGCTTACTTACCCCAAGCAACTGCTCAACCAGAAGAAGATTAGTTCATAATTAGTAACATATAAAATATATCTTGTATATATTAAAAGTACATCCTATAATTAAGGAAAATAAATTAAATTAGGATCAATTGATATAATAAGTAACATGGATTAAGTGTGTAATCAATCAAATTTTTAACTATCACGTAACTACTTCGTTAATGTTAATAACTAGTGGCTTAATTGTCAATAAATAATTAAATGATGATTAACAAAATTGAGAAATCAATTGTCAAATGAAAGATACAATAGTTAAGTGATCATATGTATGGTTTATCCAAAAAAAAAAGGGAGATTGATGTGACTAATAAATTCATATATCAATGTGAAATGAAAAATAAAAGGGTAAAGTACACAAATAGTCCCTCGATTATAGGGTACTATTTTGTTGAGTCAATCGACTATTAAAAATGACAAAAGGTCTCTACTATAGTGTTGCTTTGTTGAGTCCACCAACTATTAAAAAGTTATAAAAGGTCCCCTGGTTTTCATGTTCCAAACTCATTATTTTCTTTAAAAAATTGACGGTCGTCTGAGTTTGATGTTAACCTATTAAATGGGATATGATAAAAATATGATCTCAAAACTGTTTGAGCTGTATTTGTGAATCGACTCTCATTTACATCATGCAATCGAGCCAATGCTTGAAACATTATGTCGTCAAGCTAGTTTTTGGAAGCAACGAGTTGCCACTAGATATCATTAAAATATGATTTTATTATATCTCAATCAACAAATTAACATTTAGCTCAAAAGACTATCAATTTAAATAGAAAAGGACGAGTTTGAATATATGAATAGTTCCGTAATCATTTGTAACTTTTAATAGTCGAAACTCAACAACGTAACGCCCTATAGTCGGGGACCATTTATGTACTTTACCCAAAGTAAAGAAACGTGGGAGGAGTGTATAAGTTAGTATAATCAATCTATGATACTACACTGGTTATCGTTTAATTTTGAGATTGCCCATTAATTTGGTAAACTCCACACATGTAATGAAATTGGAAATACCAGGGTGGGTTGATTGCCCATTAATTGCATCTATTAAGTATAGATATAAAATTTATATCAAGGGTACGTTTTTTTTAAAGAAATTGTATTAAAATTATAAATTATAAAATTTTAGGATATAATTTAAACTATTAACAAAGAATATAAAAATATTTAATTATAAAATTTTAAATTTTCAAAAATTACGATCGCATAACAACTCTCGGTCCATATAAGATTTAATGGTTCATATCAAATGTTGTTAAGTTTTATGGTTCATAAAATGTTGTTAAGTTTTCTCACTTTTTATTTATGTAACTGTATACCTATGTATGTACTTTTTAGTTTGATGGTTTCTTATAAAAAAAAATATGCCAATAATATTAGAATATATAGTTAAAGTTTTCGGTTGACATTTTATATTTCTCATTCAATTATCATTTGGAGCAAAAATCTCTTTTCACCTCTCCTAAGTAGTAGGGAAGCTATGTAGTGTCGGGGCCACTGCTCCCCAAACTTTTCATCATTAAATATATATGAATATATATTTAAACCTTTAAATTTAGTTTATTTAATTTTATCTTTTCTATTTTTATATAGTTAATTTAGTTTGTCCTTAAATTAGAATTATGTGGCTTTATCTACTAATAAGAACTGATAAAAAGAAAAACTACTAACAATATGCACCTTTTAATTATGGGGCTGGGTCTGGGGCTGGCTATCCTATTCTATTCTTTATGCTTTTCTCTTGTGAATTGTGATGGGATTGAGAAATAGTGTATTCTTCGGATGTCTGTATTGTTAAGTTTTAAAATATAAATTTTACATGAATAAATAAATATATTAAATTTATATAATATTAATTATTAATATCAAAATTTATGTAATATAAATATTTTAAACATAATTACAAATAAAAAATGTTAAATTATATGGTTAATCGCGACATCGATAAACTTGTCTTATTTCTTCTGCCACTTTATCGATTTGTTTTTTTAAAAACCTCTTTAAAACTCTTAATTTAAATAAAAATCTATCATTTTTAGGGCTTGAGAGTTTTCACAAATTTGAGAGGTTTGGGATGTTTGTTCAAATATCTAAAATGTGCAAAGTATATTTCGAGAAGATAAAAGACATACCTAAAAACCCGTCTCATCATATAGTCGTTGGAGAATTTGGAGCATTAGAACTTTTGAACATTTAAATTAATATTTAAAATGTTTTCATAACAACCCTAACCTAGTCTAATCATAATCCGAGCTAGAGATATCGTATTGATTGATTGAAACTTATTCGGAGACAAATATAAACTAAATCAGAGAATCAATCATCAATCTCTCATCAAATTAGGTATTAAATTATCAAACTTATCAGTCATGAGGGTTCAATTACAAATCAATTTTTAAAGGGGTCTAAAATATAATTTTACATATTTTAATGACTTAATTATAATATTAAAAGTTTTGAAGATCATTTAAATATTCATTTATTGACTAAACCTATTTTTAACACGTATATTTTTTTCAAAATTATGAATAAAAATAACGATTAAATTAGACATTAATTGATAAAGTTATGGTTCCTAATTAAATTGTAAATTTTCAAAATTTAGAAAGAGTTTGAAACTTTTGGTCATGATGTTTAAAGATGTTAAAACTTTTAAAAGTTTAGAAACTTTTTACATAGTTTCGATATTCACTTCATAGTTTTGAAACTTTAGAATTGAATCTCAATTTTTGACCTTCTTTAAGTCCTAATATACCCTTAAAACATGTCTTAATCATCAAGTAATTCATACAAGAATCATTTAACATCAAAATACACCCAACATGTATTAAATCCCCAACAAGAAAGTTACAAACAAGATTTATATTCATTTAAACATTATAAAAGTGGATATATAATCAAATTCAACCTAATTAGATCATTCTGACCAGGGATGGATCGAAGGAGGGTTGGTTGGGGCAGTTTTCTCCCCTAAAAATTTCAAATTATATATTTTAATTATTTTTTGTATTTTCAGTTGATAATTTGTTTTTGCTCCTCCTAGTATATGATGCTACGTCCGTCCCCGACCCTGACAATGCATGAGAACCCAATCTTTCTTCTTGAATATATAAGACCAAAAAGGATTGTACCTAATAGCCCTTTGATGCTCGAGATTATGTAAAATCAATCTTATGCCTAAAGCATAAGTGGCTTCTATGACTCCCCTCTCAAACATAGCCTCAAAAACTAATACATCCCATTCAAAATGAAATAATTTCATATCACGTCATTGTATAACGCCTTCTTCAATTAATGAGGTATATGTGTATTTAATCCATTAATGTACCATTGAACATGACCAATAAGATATTCTTTCAAGTAGAGCGTTGGATCCGCACAAAACCTGGCCCTCTCGACCTTCCTTCGTGGAGCGAAGCTGTGGCCCTCAAGCGAGTCTTTCTTTATTCAAATAAGATAATCTCATGTGATTAATAAGACATATGATAATGAATTGACACTACATATCTTAAATAATTGATCTACAAAACACACTCTTAATCATCCGTCAATCCGTTAACATGACGTGATTCGAATATAAACAACTTCCTTCTATCTTGGAAGAGAGGCCCAACACCCAGCCTTACTCTCTCACATCATTTAGTACACGATATACTTTGAAAAATGCATATATGAATAAGTTTTTGAAAATTTGCGTACACGTACATAATTGTCGATGTCTGTAATAGGTGTGGGACCAACTTCCGAGTTGGCCTTGCCGTGCGTTGGGCATCTAGAAGCTCACATTTACCTTATTTCCCAAAATAGTATAATAATATTCAAAGTAAAAAAATCTTTTTGTTTTTGGCTTTATGCGTTGAAATAACTGAACACACTCTTGGTGCATTATTGAGTGCTTTAATTTCTACATTTCACAATTTTTCTACAGTATTTATGTATTAAAATAATTTTTAATAAATCCATCTTTTATATTATTTCATATGTAATTAGATTTAGTTATAAAAACAGAAATGAACCGTTGAGTTTATTTAATTGTCTCTGTTGTAAAAAAATATTATTCTTTCTAATATTTTGAGCTCGAAATTACGTTTTATGGTATATATACGTTGTTAATAATAATAAAGATTCTGAACATCTAAAGATGACAATTTAACTCGAAACCGATGTATTTGACTAATCTATCAAGTCACTTTTTTTTATAAAAAATGGGGTTTGAATTGCATCGAATTAGCGTGAGGGTGAAATCTCAATCTGATCCAACACGGCTCTGGGTAATAGTATATTTTTCCTATAAATGTAGAGATAATTTATATAATACTCTCTTTCTCTAGTTTTTTAATTAGGTCCCTATTTTATGTCGAGTAGGATCAAATAAGGTTTATACTCTAAAAATTCAAGTTGAATCAGATTTGGAAAAGAGAATATGCTCTTCGAATCGAATCGGCTCTTCAAATCAATCGAATTTAAGTGAAATGATATTTTTCTAATTGAATTGATCAAAAATTAAACTTAACCAAACTCGTAATCACTTCTAAAATTTATACTATTTTATAATCATTCTAATTACTAAAAGAATAGGTTAGTAGATGCATAAATTTACCCCAAAAAAAATAGAGTACTTGGGGGAGAGTAGATGGGAACGTGTAGCAAAAGTTCACCAACTCGTCATCCCCTTTGAGAACTCTCACCTTCATATCGTCTTTTAACTTCTATATAAGGAAGCTGATTACCAGAAGAAATAAACTACTTTGATCAAAAGCGGCAACAACAACGAAAATGGATCACGGAAAGCCATCATTTGTGTTCTTGATGCATCAACCTATGTGGGTTTTTGGATTCTCAAAGGGCTATTGGGTAAAGGTTACACGGTTCATGCAGCTCAGATAAAGGGTAACTATTTAAAATTCCCCCCTTTCTTACTTGGTAACCTCTTCTTCTTGTGGTGATCTTTCTTCGAGTTGGGTTTTTGTTTGAATCTTTTCGTTTTTGTTTCCCTGTTTTTGGGGTTGTGACAGGATCAGAGACAGAGATAGAGAAGAAAATTAAGGAAATGGAAAGTGTAGAGAAGAAATTATCAGTTTTTAGTGTGGATATACTTGATTACCATACCATTCTTGTTGCTTTGAGGTGTTCTGCTTTGTTCTGTTGTTTAGAGAGTCCTGATAGTTATGATGTAAGTGATGACCAAAACTCTTAAATTCCCATATTTTTTTGTTATTCAGGCTGGAATTTTTGTTAACAAATTTCATTATCAGAACTCAATTGTGGATTTGGAGGTGAGGGGAGCAATCAATGTAGTTGAGGCCTGTGCACAAACAGATGGCATGCAGAAGATTGTGTTCACTTCTTCCTTAACTGCAGCTATTTGGAGAGAAAACATTTGTTCACAGAAAGATGTAGATGAGAGGTCTTGGAGTGATCAAGATTTCTGCCGCAAAATGAAGGTCTTTCCTTTACTTTTCAGAATTTCTTAGCTATTGACAATTCATAGCGGTACCCTGTCATAATTTTCTTAGTTATAGAATGGTTTGTAGTCAGCCCTTGATGTCTTGTTTATGTGCAGTTGGTATGCCCTTGCTAAAACACTGTCCGAGCAGGCTGCTTGGGCACTTGCCATGGATCGAATGCTTAACATGGTTTTGTCAACGCTGGACTAGTTCTTGGCCCTGGTGTGCACAGCAAAACCCTTGTTCAACCATGTCCTATCTTAAAGGTATACAATACGCATCCATCATAATATTTGAGTCGCAATTAGTATCTAACGCCATCTTGATTTCAATCCGAAATAGGAGCTGCTGAAATGTTTGAAAACGGAGTTCTAGCCGTCGTTGATGTGAGTTTTTAGTCGATGTTCATATTCGAGCTTTCGAAGATTCGTCTACGACGGGGCGATACTTTTGCTTCAATCAAGTGGTGAATACGGGGAAGAAGCTGTTAAACTTGCTGAAAGCCTCAGCCCTTTGATATCTTTACAACCCAGTAAGAATGTGAAAAGCTGCTATTGTTGATCAAAAGAAATGAAAATGGTGAATTTATGATGGCTCGTAAATGCAGGTATGAAAGCCATGGGAGCGAGGCGTATGCTGAGAGGTTGAGGACCAAGAAATTGACTGGTTGAAGGCACTGCATAATTGCAAAACCTGGGTTTCCTTATCCCTTGATAGTAGTTTCTCAACGTTATAAGATAATGTATATATATCGTTAGGGATGGGTCGAGGGAATTGACGGTGGATCGAAGGAATTGACAGGGTGATCGTCTTGAAAGTTTTACATTTTTATATAATTTAAGATTTTTTTTTTGATAATTATTTTCGTCCTTCTAAAAGTTCGTAAGTTTCTCTTAAATTTTAAGTTTATTTTCTTAACATGTGTGTTAATGTGAGGAAAATTTAACTGCGAATGAATCATTTATGATTGTCACTACTCTGCCTAGCCAACCCATTAGGATGCTTGGAGTGAAATTAGAGATTTAAAGGGTTGTTCTGATACTATTTATCATAACACCATTACATTTTCCTTATAAAATGTACAAAGCTGTTGTTTATAAATTTTAATATCTCCTTTTTCTTTTCTGATATTTTATAATGTTTCTTATCTTTTAAGATGTGATGATCGAGTTGGAATCTAGAATGACATCTAAAGACAAATACATAGTTTTATATAAAGATATAAATTTAAGAAATTATATTAAATTTAAAAATATAAAATTAAATCATTAATGAAATTTAAAAAAATATATAAATTACATGAAAACTTAAAATTATCGAGCTACAAACGTTCCTTCGTACATCCTGATGACATGAGCATAGAAATAAAAGTCAATAATTCATGCATATATGGGATGTATGAGATACAGCTTGATTGCATGAATGCAAACAGTTATGGATGGCTAAGCACACAATTGGTTAAAGGAACTACATTTATCTTATATGTATTTATTGATTCATCGAGGCTTAAAGTCAAACGTAATAAAGAAAGTCTAAGATCAACACATTTGCATGGTTTTCAAAACCGGATCGGTCAGTTAACCGATTGGTTACCGATTATTGGTTCAACCGGTCAGACAGGTAGGAAGAATCGGACGACATCATAATTAATTAATTATTTAAAATTAAATAAAATATAATTTTTTTAATAAAAAACAGTTTTTTATATCACAATTCATATTCAAGCAAGTTATACATATATAAATTAAAAACCATAAAATCAAGTGAACAAAATGATTCAAATCAACTACAACATAATATTTAAGGAAAACATATTAAATAAAATATAATTATAAATATAATCAAAAATAAATTTGGGGCTAAAAAAATATAAACGATGTTGTTTGGTTAATTTTAAAAAAAATCTCACATGGCTACATAGAAGAGCATCACAAAGTTAAAGAGTAAAAATATAAAAACAAAATAATCTCACATGGCTAAGAAACATAGAAGAACATCCTAACTGACTTCTAAAAATAGAGGTAATTTGACATTCAAAATCATGGAGCCTTTTGGTGAGCACAGAGCGAACTATTCTTTCGCTTCAATCGAGCTCGAATTTCAGGCTTCAATCGAGCTTATAATTTTTTTGAGTTCGAGCCTTTTTGAGTTCAAGTTTCAATATATTTCAAGTTAGAGTTGAACTTGATAATTTTTAGCTCGTGAGTTTTTTAGTCGAGTTGAGCTTACTTTTAAAGTTTTCGAGTTCGACTCGATTCATTTAACAAACGACATCGTTTGATTTAGTTTTTTTTAGAAAAAAAAACAGAACTGATTTTCAATCGGTTCATGGTCCGGTTCGAACGGTTCATAACCGGTTCACTAGTAGCGGTTTAACGGTGTAGAATAAATCAGACCAGATAATAATTTTCGATTAACCGGTTAAAAACCGATCAAATCCGATTTTCAAAACACTGCACATGAGTGAGAGACCTAATTCTATCCATCCATCCCTTGACTTTCCATAATCATTTCAACCATTACACCATTATGTGATTCTTATTTTTTGGGGGGGGGGGGGAATTGGAAAAGACTTATCATCATTTTATTGTTTGATATGGCTCTCCATTTATTTCTTGTTTTGTCCTACACGTTAAATGTTTTTTATTAATATGAGATAAGTACAAAGCAGTATATGTTTAAAGATAACTCTCAACATCTTGACATTAAATACTCATGCCCCTGGCATCGATGATGCTTGAACTTGACACTCAAGAAATGACAACAATTTTTTTATCACGGAGCCGACTTAATTCGTGCTACACATTAAATGTTGAATACATATTAGGAATAAATCATTGGAATAATAACAAAGTAAGCCTAATATTTATTAAAATAAATATTTTTATCTCATTTTTTGAAGTATTTTGATCCTAACGTTTGACTGAATAGTCATTTGATTCTTATTCTTTTTTTTTCCTGAAATGTTTTGGCCTCTAAAGTTTTATTTATATTAAAAAGACTTATTTTAGAACGTTAATTGTTTGCTAACTAATGATTTCCGCCTAGAGTGAGGCATTTTTACTTTAAAATGAAATGTTGGGACCAAGATGTTAAAAAAAGCTAAAATAACTATTTTAATATATGTTAAGTGTTAATTTTAATATTATACCAAATTATTTTATTTATATATTTTATCGAACACATAAACATTACAAATTTATTTTACTTAAATAAAAACATTTTTATACATTTTTATCATATTTAATTTAATATATTTTGTATTATAGTATTAAAAATTAAATGTTATTTAAATATGTTTTAAACTTATAACATCAATAAAATAATCATTTATCTTTTAAAAATATTTTTAATAAATAATAGACACTTAAACTTTAAGCTAAATAATCACACGTCAATGGAGATTGATCAAGTGGTTAGCAGTTGATATTGATATTATTTAAGTATGTCTCAAATTTGAGATATTGTGTATGTAAAAACCTTCTGTTGAGAAATTCACCCGTCAAAATTAGGTGTGTGTGCGACACGGATCAATCCATTATCGAGCATTTTGTACGGATGTTTCTGGGTTCCATATGATTTATTGATATTTTTCTTGTATATATAATCCAAGAAGGTTAGTGTCAGGATTAAGTATATTTATTGCTGAAATATTGTTGATTTACAGATATGAAGATAGTGGAGGCTAGGAAGACGATTCTTCGCTTGGAACCACTGGCTACCGAAAAGAGAGAAAAATGAAAGAGGAGATGATTGGTAAGCTTCAAATCTGCATTTTGTTTGCCTTTATTTATTTATTTTTGGTTTTGAGCTATAATATCAGATCTCTTGAACAAGGTAAATCAGTTCTCTTTACATTTATATATGAGGTCATAATCCATTTTCCCTAGACTCTTTTATTGGGTGCTTTACTGCTCTACATTGTTATATCTACGGCCGTAATAAATCGAGTCGAGCTTGAGGATGTTGAGCTAGAGTCGACTCAAAAAATCTAAAGCTAAGTTTGATTTGATTCGAAAGCTCATGAGTTTGACATAAAAACCGAACTGAATTGTGAAATTAAATATCTAAATCGAATCGCATAAAAAAAAAACCCAAACCAAATTAAACCAAATAGTTCATCTCAAATCGATTTTTCAATTTTTCAATTTTTCTCGGTTCCGTGTCTCAGCCCTGATGATAAACTTAATTTCTCCTAATTCCATGAACATAATGCAAATGGTATTGGTTTCATAGAAATGGTAATGAGGGTCTGATTCATTAGGTATTGGTTTGATCTCTAATTGAACACTTGGATGCGACTTGTCCGTGTCAAATGATGGACTATAGCTATGTGCAATGTTGATATGATTAATACCAGTCACTGAAACACTATTTGGATCTACATTTCATTCTAGTGTTTGAATGGTAATGCAAAAGGCCAGTAGTTTGGCATTTGATTCTAGTCACTAACCATGTACAAATATGCATCTCTGAGCGGGAAAGCTGAAAGAATTATCCAACTCTGTTCTGGGTCGATTCGTGATGAGTGTCGACAACTTCAAAGCCGTCAAAGATCCCAACACTGGCTCGTATTCGATATCGTTCCAGCATTCGTTTTTACCAATAAATTATTCATATACATTTTTTTGCTTAATGTCGGAGTTGCATTTTCTTTTGCTTAATATTGGAGTTGCATTAAGTGTTCCTCTCGTATATATGATGTGTAAATCTACCGTTAACTACATTTCTCTCCTTTTTAGCCCCAACTTAATGCATGAAGCCGCCATGGGCATGAGGCTGCATTACTAGATATTAGTCATCCGAATTCTAAATTTTACTCTTTTTGCACAAACCAAATGACCTCCGTGATAATGAATTGTTGCTATTCATCGAAAACCCAAGTTCAAGCACCATAAATACCAAGAGTGTGAATGTTCAATTTTGAGTTGTATTTACCCCATTAATATAAAAAGATCATATTTATACACAACTTTCTTTTAGTGTAATCTATACCTAAAACTTTGATATGATTCAAATGCGCGTATGAGATTTTGATTCCGTTATACATATTTAAAGGACTAATATATCTATTCATTTTATGTTGAATAAATATAATCATCGGATGTACTATGTAAATGTCAAATGATAAACATCAACAATAGAATTAATTATTCAAATAACTGGTTTTCCCCATAAAAACATACATAGATCACATAAAATAACATGGT